TTAGACTACTGTATATAGTTCAAGATTTGCCATGGGCCGTTCATGTGGTATTGAATGCCACTAATTTGGATCATCCAGATGTTGAGCCACCCCATGATCCAACCATCCATCTAATGATCCAATCTTCAAATCAGTATGCAGGAGCATCAAGCGCGTAATAGGGGCACATTGTTGGTCTGTAACTCCATAATGCTTTATTCTCTGTTCAACTGAATGATATTTTCTACCACAAAGAAAAAAAAAGGGAAAAAAGACCCTCTTTGGGTAATGGATTCATCTTGCAAGAAGAAAGCTTTCCTGAACATGTGAGAGTTCTGCTTTTTTATTTTCAAATAATCCCCGTATTCCTGTTCTAAGAATGGATTAGTTCTTGGCTTAACTTGAGTCTAGGGAGAGTTCACAAAGTGAACACTTAGGCTCTGTTTGTTTTTCGGTAATTTATTTATCAAGGTAAGTGCATTTATCCTGGTAAGTTTTACCTGTATTCTTTCTAGTCTTGAAATTTATCTGGATAAGTTTTTTCTATTAACATATATACCCTTAGACATTTTTATTTTTAAAAGCTTGTTCAATAGATATTTTTGTCTTGACACTTTTCCTTCCAGACTTCTGGTAGGAAAAACACTTATTCACCTGAGAAATTGGTAAAATTTTTCCAGGTAAATTTACCGCAGGAAAGTTAGTTTAACAAGGGACCCACACGTGCCAAAAATTTTCCCAAGTAAATTAACCCATACTTGTATGTTGTTATTCATGGGGAGATGTTCTTAATGCAAAATGGGATGTGCTGTGAGGAGCAAACCCCAAGCCCCCAAACCTGATGGGGGATTAATAGAGATCCCTTAATGGGGTTGGGGAATGAAGTCCCCACCCTGCCCTGACCTTGATTATATATATGATATTATTTATATATTAAAATAAATTTAAAATATTATTTATATTTTAAAGTTTTTTCTTTACTTTAAGTAAACTTATTTAAAAAAATATTATTAATTAAAAAAATAGGAGATTCGGGTCCTCGTAGGGAACCTGTTTCCGTCGGGGATCAGGGATGGAGGACAACTTTTATCCCCAGTGGAGATCGGGATCGGAGATGGGGAATATGATCCCTGCCCTGAACCCGCCCTATTGCTATTCCTAGTCTCATGAAAGAAAGGACCCTTTGATGAATCCGAAATGAATGTTTTTGTCAAGGTTAATATGGGCTAGGGGTGAAGTTGGGTTGGGTTGGGCCTGGTGACGTCAATCCAAAAGGCGAAGGCAAAGGTACCTCAATCCTACTGTGATCTGATTTACACTAAAATTAAGGTTCCATTTTGGAATCAGAATCAAAACCCCTAAGAATTGGAATTAGAATGGTCTGTTTGGTTGAACCAGAATGAATATTAGAATAAGTTGGAATGGGATTTAATTTTCAATAAGCTAGTGCACTGGAAATGCGAATGAGATTCTCAATTCTGCCCAACGAAACAGTTAGAATTGGAATGGCCCATTACAATTCCGATTCCGATTCCAGACCCTGATGCTGATTTCTAAGTTCTAACCAACCCAACAAGGTTGGGTCAGTCCGGTGCACAACCCTAAGAATTGGAATTAGAATGGTCTGTTTGGTTGAACCAGAATGAATATTAGAATAAGTTGGAATGGGATTGATTTAATTTTCAATAGGAGGGAATGGCCATTCCCTCAAATGGGTGATTGCTAGTGCACTGGGAATGCGAATTAGATTCTCGATTCTGCCCAACGAAACAGTTAGAATTGGAATGGCCCATTACGATTCCAATTCCGATTCCAGACCCTGATGCTGATTTCTAAGTTCTAACCAACCCAACAAGGTTGGGTTTTACATAAACATTTAATAATATTTAAAGATACTAATAAGGGCATCATACTAATGGGGTTGTGTGAAACTTCAACCCTAACCCAACAGATCCAAATTACATTGGGTTGAACCTGATTTCTAACCAACCCAACACGGTTGGGTCAGTCCGGTGCAGTCCTAATACAAATATGGACGTGTGTGTGTGTACGCGTGCATGTATGCGAGAGAGACTCCTCTATTGAATCTGTTCTATTAGAATGATAGTTATGGCTTTAGTTCTTATTTAGGCAAATTTTATAAGCTAGCAATAGCATAGCGTCGTACCTAGTTTGTTTGAACCTTAAACCGCAAATCAAGTCAAGTGTGACCTACCTCTATAATGTGTGATTTACACTACAATTCTATATCGGCGATGGACTTATCTTGGAACTAAAGGGTAGGGAAAATGAGCAAGAGCCACTTCCACCATCTCAATCCATCCATCTAGAGCCAATTCATCCTTAAACCTAGTATTTTCATGTCGTTCACTCACTATTTCAAACCAATTCTTTTTTCTAACTAAACGCAACTTCTCTAGTCCTTGTTCCACGAAACAAACATCATATGAAACATTTGGGTTGTGAATGTTGTCATCATTCATAGCTTCAGTGTATCCCAGAATTGCATCATRCTTTGGAATCCTCTRCCAGTATTGATTGTTAACATCAACAACTGTTACTTGATGGCTTCAATATGCCTCTAGCTTGCGTAATACTTCGGATATTTTGCAAACACCTACATGCTCCAACAAAAATAATGCAATGGAGACTGCTATTCCTTGTATTCTCTGCTTTGTTCACTCTGCTCTCTGTTGGGCTCCCAAGGAAGATAATGCAACAGATGACAACTATTCTGGGTATTCCCTTCAGGAGAACATCTGCAGTGTATTCTGTTTAAAAGTTTTACTTGTTTTCCTTACTAAGAGCAAAAATAAACTTATCCATCCAAAAAAAAGAGCGAAAACAAAATTGGAAAAGGATGAGATAGAAGCACATGTTTTCTCAACTTTGTTACAGGAAGACATGACAAGAATCCAATAATCACCTCAGATACCTTTCTCTGAATCATAGAGCAGGTAAAACTAAGTGTTTTGCATCATTTGTGTTTAAAACAAATCATAAAATGATGGGCACCAAAAGAAGAGCCTATTTCTCAGAGGTTGCCCATTGATTTTAACCTACAGTCTACCAGCCATTCATGAGGAAGTCTAGAAGACATGAATTTGATGCAATACCTCTTGCTGACAAAATTATTGAACATTAGTGTAAGAGCACATGCTATGCATGTCTGCAAGTATTAACCATATATGATAATATGTTATTTGAATTTAACTTTTATGATGGACATGGAACCCAAGGCAAGTATCTGCTTTAGTATAGATGTTGTAGGTCCAATTATCAGTAAAACGTAGGATGCTCAAGATTAAATATGTCATCAGGAAGAGATCAGGATAGTAAAACCAGACTGGGGCTCAATCTTGAGAAAATCTTGAAGAAAAGGCTACCAAATCACAACTGTACCACTCTCTGTACTGAATGCAACATGTGAAGGCTTTACTAATATTATGGTTGTCCTAATTGATGATTCTGAGACAATGATTTCAGCATACTATGTTGAGCTAGGAAGGATTACTCATTGTACTTTGTGGCTCTTACCCAAGAAAATATGCATTCTAGGTCCTTGCAGATTATATGGGCTGATGGTACAAAATCKRAAACAAAACTACCCAATAGAGTCCACTATTCAATGGAGTTCCACCACAAAACTCAATAAATTTCTTAGCAGGTTCTTCTCAAACTAGACACCATCAGAGTAAATCCCAATCTGTATTATCAGTACCAGAATTGCATATTGGGGTACAGAGATGGGAGAAGTTCAGAGGTTACACTCTCGATGATATTGTTCAAAGATGATCTGCTGTGTCTCCTCCCTCCAGCATAGATGATGGTTCAGGATTGGATTATTTCTCTCCACAAGGAGATGGATGCTCTTTGGGG